TACAATTTTCAAACTACAGAGAAAGGTCCAAGCTGGAGAGAAGTGCAGGAAAGACAAAGTGCCTTTCACTTGCAGCTTTATCCTTCCCAAATCTATAGATTAGCTGGGTGGTGGTGGCCCAGCCTTTAATCCTAGCACTCAAGGGCAGAGGCAGGCAGATCTCTGAGAGTTCGAGATCAGCCTGGTCTACAGAGGGAGTTCCAGGACAGCCAGGGCTACATAGTGAATCTGCAGAATAAAAGATTCTGGGGCTACAGCTGCTGTTCATCCTCTAGGGATTATTCTGAAATGATCCGTCAAGTATTTGCAACAGAGGGAGTCTAGGTGCTTTCTCCAATGAATTTGTAACTTAAACTCAGGTTGTCTGATTAGCTGTCTTGAATTGTGTGTGTAGTGGCTATATCAGAGAACATAAACAAGTTGATAAATTATTGCCATGCTCTCCAGAGTAGCGCAATCATTACACTGGAGATGAGAAGGGACGGACCTATTTTTCTGATATGGCATATCAGCAGTTCCCAAGGTAGCTAATTTACAAGTCTATGGATACAGGAAGCACAACTTAAAAGTTTAAGGCAGTATACTTATCACTCAAATTTAGAAGATATTCAAACTGGAGAAAACAGAATGTCTGCTCTACCCAGGAAAATCTATATCCCCATAAGGGAAGTCCATCCAAAATTTAATAAGAGGATTTTTTAAAAAATGTTCCTTCTTCAAACAGAATTTAACAAAAATCAACAGGAATAGATGATAAAATGTTATTCATAAACAGGAAATCCTTCCAGGGAAAGTGCTATAATGTAACTACTATTCCTTACATGTCTTTGGATAGCTACAAAAGATAGGTAGACTACATCTAGTGTTTGCTAGTAGTATGAACATTCTTTACCCAGTAATAAGAGCTGAGAACAGCAGGTGCTCCAAGTTTGGAAGGCAGAGTTAGAGAAGTATTGCAAATTAGCAATCGTAAGAATCTTCTATGGTGGTCAAAGCTGAGAATAAATCAAGGAAAACTCTAGAAAATTTAAAATAAATAAATAAATAAAACTTGTATTTATTTTTTTCTCTTGACGTAAAAAAGACCTCATTATGTAGCTCTGGCTGCCTTGAATTCATATCTGTGTGCATCTGTCTCCTGAATGCTGGGACTAAAGGTGTGCACCACTATACCCAGCTAACTGGACCCACACTGCAAGAAGCAGACTTAGCACAACAATATGACCTCAAATGAGGTCAGTAAGATGGCTCAGCAAGTAGGGGTGATCTGAGTTCAAGCCTCAAAACAGGTGAAGGACTGAAAAAGTCCTATGAGCTTCACATGATAGAAATCCCATATCAACAAGTCTCTTTCTCACAGTCTGCCCTCCACACACACAGCATACACATACTCATTCTAAATTTTTTTAATTAAAATTAATCACAGACTTAAATATTAAACAAGATTATAAAATTTCTAGAAGATACAGAAGAAATATAGGCAAGCCTGGGCTTTGTCATCACTTTTAGATACAATTAACAAAGTCTTAATATCACAGAACAAAGGACTGATAAACTGGACTACATTCAAATTAAAAACTTCTGCTTTGTAAAAAGAATCTGCCAGAGCCAGGCCTGGGGAGATGGCTCAATTGGTACAGGTGCTTTCCAAAAAACCAAGTTTTTGAAGTTCAGATCTCTGAGACTCATTAAAAACAAAAAAACAGCTCTGAGAACACTTACATACACACAGTCCAGTGTTCCTAAGGCAAAACGGGAGGTAAAAACAGAGGTACTGCCCAGAAGCTGCAGGGGAACAGCAGAAATAAGAGATTCTACCACAAAACAAGGTGTAAGCAGTCCAACTCCTGAAAGCTGTCTTTTGACTTCTACACCGTGGCATGTGTGAGCATGTACTCGTTCACACACATAAAAATAAATAAATAAATAGATAGATAAATAAATAAATAAATACCACATTTGGAGAGGGGGAAACTACCAAGGGGGACAGAGGGAACTATAGTTTTTGAGGAAATATATAGAAAAAAACTTACCAAATAAAAGACTATAATGCCCGGCTAGAGAGCTGGCTCAGCAGTAAAGAGAACTGGCTGCTCTTGCAGATGACCCAGATTCATTTCCCAGCACCCACAATGGTGGCTCATAACCATCCATAACTCCAGTCTCAGGGGATCCAATGCCCTCTTCTGGCATCTGTGGGGCACCAGGTATGCACATGATACAGACATACACCCAGACAAAACTTACATACACATAAAATAAAAATAAATCTTAAAAGAAAAGGAGAGTGCTATTGAAAATAAACAAAGAACTCCTGAAGGCCAATTATAAAAATACAAAACAAAAAACCTGACATCCTAACTTTAACAAGAATGGTCCAAGAAACAGGGCACACTTCTCACCAAAGAACATATTCAAATGGAAAATAAGCATGCAGAAAGACTTCTACATCATATGCAATCAATATGTAATACAAATTACAACAGTGATATACTGATATGCACCTATTAGAATGACCAAAATCTAGAAGACTGATAGATAACATAAACTGCTGGTAAGGATATAAAGCAACAGCAACTGCCATTCACTGCAGCAGTGTGGCAGCTTCTTACAAAACAACATACTTTCATCATAATCCAGAAGTCACACTCCTGTGAATTTACACAGAGACAAGATATGCCCACAGTAATACACACAAAACTCATGGTAGTTTTCATTTATAATTGCTAAAACATGACGCAACAAATACATCTTTTGGTTGGGGAATGGCTGTATACAAATTATGGCACATACTGTTTAGTTCTAAAAGGAAATGTACCATAAGCCATGAAAACACACGGAGAAATCTCCAACACAGATTATGACGCCAATCTGATGCAAATGAAGATGTTTGGTTGGAAAACACCTTGCCAGCAAGTTTGACCAGTTGAGTGTGATCATACTCTCATGGATAGAAGGAGAGAATCAATTCCTGTAAGATGTCCTCTGATCTGTATACAAATGTCATGGCACCAATGCATATGTGAATGTAGGTGTGTAAATGAACAGACTCAAAAAAATTGTTTTAAAGTAATTTTTAAAACAATGCCCACTTGATGCCAAGCAATAGTGGCATACACCTTTAATCCCTGCACTTGGGAGACAGAGGCAAGCGGATCTCTGTGAGTTTGAGGCCAGCCTGGTCTACAGAGCTAGTTCCAGGACACCCAGGGCTACACAGAGAAACCCTGTCTTTAAAAAACAAAAATCAAATAAATAAATAAATGGATGGATGAAAGAAAGAAAGAAAGAAAGAAAGAAAGAAAGAAAGGAAGAAAGAAAGAAACAATGCCCTTTTGGAAGTCTTGGAAAGGCAAAATTATGAAGACAGCAGAAAAGATCAGAAGTTAGCCAGAAGACAATGTAGATGGATCAGAAACTACTTAGAGCAGTCAAAGTATACTGTAAGATACATGTGCATACATGTCTTTGTAAAAATGCATGTTCCCAAGTTTTAGAAATTACACTACCAAGAGAGAATTCCAAAGTAAAAAGAACCTGTGATAAAAATGTGCCAGTACAGTTGGATGTTGGTGGTGCATGCCTTTATTCCCAGCACTTGGGAAGCAGAGGAAATTAGATCTTTGTGAGTTAGAGGTCAGCCTGGTCTACAAGAGCTAGTCAGGACAGGCTTCAAAGCTACTCAGAGAAAACCTGTCTCGAAAAAAAAAAAAAAAAAAAAAAAAACAAACCCAACAACAAAAACACACCAGTATAAGTTACAAACTACAACTAACAAATGTAGAACAGACAAAAGAAAGAAGAGACATGGGACAAACTTGACTGTGAAAACACAAGTACCACCAAAACGTAGCTTCCAGCCTGCAATTGAGCACTCAAGAGACGGAGATCTAAGCGAAAAAGCACAAACCAACAAAATATGATGTGAGCAAAGCTGTGCATATGTAGAGTACAAAGCAAAGAAACACCATATTTTACACCAACTGGGACCTAAGAGTATCCTCCAAAAGGACATTTACTGTCTGTATGCTGAGTGCAGATATGCTCACAGTGAATGTACTTATAGAGACTGGGGTCTTCCTTAATCACGCTCCACGGTTTTTCCCCCCCTTTATATGTATATGTTATTATGTACATGTCACATGTGTCCAGAGGCTAAATACTGGTGTCGGGTGTACTCCTTTATTACTCTCCACTTTATATATATTAAGGCAGGATCTCTCACCAAACTCTGAACTTGTCAACTTGAGCTAGTCTAGCTAACCAGGGATCCTGTCTTTGCTTAAGTGCTGACTGAGATTACAGGCAGCTGTCCTGACTGCCCCAACATTTATATTCTGGGGGTCTGAACTATGGTCCTTATGCTTATTACAGCTCTCAGCACAACACCTCTGTCAACTTCATGGTTTTTGGTTTTGTTACTCTACAAAGTCCAGATACTCATACTCATACACACACACTTTTGAGATAAGGCCTCTCAGAGTTCATAGTGTTGGTTAGGCTGCGTGGCCAGTGAGATCCAGGAAATGCATAGCCCTGCATCCCCTTTATTGGTGTTATATATTCATAGGTGGTAGGGACCCAAACTCAGATCTTTATGCTTACATAGCATATTAGTCACAGAACAAACTCCCAGCCCCTAAAAGTATGTATGTAGACATCTATATAGAGAGATACTGATATAGAGATATAGATTTGTTTGTTTGACTGTGAGTTTGAGGCCAGCCTGTTTTGAAAACCAGAGATCCACCTGCTTCTGCCTCCCACATGCTGGGATTAAAGGTGTGTGCCACCAAACCCAGCTAGAAAAGTAATTTTGAAAATTCTTCAGTCACAGTCCAAGAGGTCCATGAGGCTGGTAGCTGCTGCACTGTGTCCGGCAAGGAAAACACAACCACCTCCACCCCTGCAGGAAGCTACTGCAGAGCACTATGCTTAAAGGGAATAAGCTGACGGCTGGGGAGAGCGATAAATCACTGCCCTGGAGCAGTGGCGATTACCTTTCCTCTTCCACCTGCTCTTTCTCCCCTCTTTGTTGCTGCCACCATCACTGCTGCTGCTGTTCTCAGAGCTCTGAGAATCTGACTGACCATCACTGCTTTCTTCTGAACCTTCTGACAGCTCTTTCACTCCATCTGGTACATCTTTCTGAAAATGTAGGCATATCCTGTTAGGATTATCACCATTTTAGCAAATCGAAACTAAATTTCTAATACATAATGCAGTAACTTAATTAACTGATTAATTTTTATTATTATAAAATAGTAAAACCACCAATATTTGCTGACATCCTGATACTTCCCTTTTTTGGGTCAAATAAGTTAATTTTCCATCTACATCCAGAAGATAAAAATTATTGATAACGTTCATATATGCAGGCACAATGTATATTTAAATTACACCAAAACTAGTAGATATAAATCCAGGTAAAAGATATAATGTTCAAGTTTAAAAAGCTAATAATTTTGTCAGACATATGATTGTGTGTGTGTGTGTGTGTGTGTGTTTCAATTACAGAATTAAAAGTCAGGAGAACAAGATCATTGCATTATTTTCACCAAACTGGATCCTCAAAGTTCATTAATGAATAGCAGCAAGAAAAGGAATTTTTGTTTTGTTCTTTGTATGTATTTTTTTTGTTTTTGCTTGTTTTGTTTTTGAGATAGTGTTTCTCAGTCCTGGAACTCCCTTTGTAGACCAGGTTGGCCTCGAACTCAGAGATCCACCTTCATCTGCCTCTTGAGTGCTGGGATTAAAGGTGTTAGCCACCACTACCCAACCCGTTTTTTTCCCTTTTTTAAAGAATCACATCAATCTCTTTAGTTTTAGCTCTGAGTAATGAGAATGTTAACCAGAAAGGATAACTAGGACCATTTAATATGAGAAAAAAAGGGTAGGGTAGTAGCATATGAAAGCCTAGGGAAGTAGGGCTTTATATTCTCCTAATTACACAGTCTGAGTCTAAATTAATCTCTCATAACTTAATTTCTAAGGTGGGGTAATAACACCTACCTTAAAACATCACATAGCAATTAAATTAGCTAATATGTTCACAATAGTGCCTTTACAATGGCTCAATATTAGTTACTATGTATTTACATAGTACAAAAAACATATACAATTAATGGGAATAAGTGTTATTTCTTTTATGGATTTTCTTTCCATCTGCACTTTGTTGTCCCAAATATTTATTTTTATACTCACATTAAAAAGTGAACTGACAGACACAAAAAAGTTACCCTACATCTAACTGGCATCACATGACATAACCAAGACCATAAGTCCAAATGAACAAGAACAGTTATTTTCCACTTAAATTTCTCTCCAATCCATCTCTTATGTTATACACTTTCTTAAAATACAGACCCCATATTTTTATATTCCTTCCTTCAAAATGCAGGACAGCTTTTATAGAGTTAGTTGCCAGCCAGACATCTTGACCTGTAGGTTCAACAAGTATCTGAAATACAAATATAATTATCTTCTTTTTGCAAAAAATTTGTGATCCCTTTGGGATCAATGGCTCATGCCCCAAATCTTAATATCTTTTCTCACCCACTGTGTTTTGTTTTGTTTTAACACATACCAAACGCAATGTGTTCTATGCCTCAAATGGCCCTTGGGTCTACCTAAGTTCCTACTCCAAACTGTAATCTCCTTTCCGTGAGAATCTTAAAACATAAGATTTGATGACATTGTTCTCTCTGAAGACCTCTCTGTTATCTACTTACTCACCAGCCCACCCAAACGAAGAGCTCAAATCAGGGTGAAACTATAATTAACTAATGTTTATCAATTATCACGACTCCAGTGAATTATCACTTAATCCAATTTTCTCTTTCAAATTCACTCAGAATTTTATCTGTCCCTTCATCTGCGCTACTTATCCTTGAAGGTCTTCACTCCTTTTATGAATATGTTCACGCCCAGCTTAAATCTTACAAATAAATAACACAAACTTCCTAGACCCTTTTATCCAAAACTAATCTTTACTTGGCTTTATTATAATGGTAGAGTTTCACAGTATATTTTATAAATATGAAATATTTTAATTATTAAAATGTGAGCATTAAAGAGATTAGGAACTAGGAACTATAGATTATTCAACAGTCTCTATTTCTGACACAAATTTGACAATATGATAAGATAAATTATTTGAACTCTGAGTTTTTGTTTTCTTCTTCTTTAAATATTTTATTTATCTTAAGTGTGTGAGAGTTTTCCACAATGTGTGTGCAGTGCCTGAAGACGCCAGAAGAGGCCGCAAGGATCGAAACTGAATCCTGTTCCTCTTTAACATCAGCAAGTACTCTTAACAATCAATTCTGAGCTCTTGATATACAGCATCAAAACTTTTGTACTTTCCTAACCAATACCAGGATTAGAAAAGTCTATTTGTTCTGTCTGCTATTTGGTCTTTGACTCTAGTTCAGGAAACAGTGCCTAGGTGAGTTAGCAGCTCCTACGGGTTAAGAGTCTGTTCAGATGACTATCTGCTTCTGAATGGCCTGGCTCAGAGTGGAGGGTGACTACTAAGAGCCATTTTTTTTTTTTTTTAATGTGATTATAAAGTTGGAACTTTTAGCCCAACTTCTCAAGGATGAAGGTTTAAGTTGATGGCCAATGATGGAATCATGAGCATATCACAAATCTTCCATAAAAACTCTAAAGACCAGGGTTTTGGATGAGCTAGCACATGCCTAAAATCAAATTTGTGCTTGGAGGCCAAGACAGATTCCATACTCAATGACCACACCTCACTTTATAAATGTCTTTTATCTACATCTCTCATAAGCAAGTCTACAAAGTTAATCATATCTAAGAATAAGGACATGGGAACATCAATTATAGCTGATCTATCAGAGCTTAGGTCACAACCAAAGACTTGTAACTAACAGCTAAAGTGAAGGATATCCTTTGGTACTGGGCCCTTTGCCTGTCACAACAGCCTGATAGTGTAAAAACTGAGTTAAATTTAAAGGCTCCTAGCTTGATATGAGGGAGAAACACCCAAACACCTCATATCAAAAGAACTGTACTGTTTTATATAATGACAGAAAATACATTTTGAGCTTTTCTTTCCATCTCTACAGCGCAGTGTGCATTTAATGAATGCAATTAAAATCATGGGCAATCTAGAATAGCTAAAATAAAGAAAGAAAGTATGTAACAGCTTCATTTGGAACTAAGATCTCATAACACCCACAAGTTAGACACCATAAAGAGTCAGAGGAAGTTAAGATTAAGATTAAAGAGCATAATAAGGTTGTGCTATATTGCACAGACCAGCCTTGAGCTCACTCTGTGGCTCAGGGTGATCTAGAACTGGACACGATCTTTTGTCTTGGCCTGAGCACTATGATTGATAATAATATGCCACCACATTCAGATGCTATATGTGCAGATTTACTCCTCTTTTGTTTTGAGACAGGATCTAGGCTTGATTGGCTAGAACTTAGAGATAACTACATCTGCCTCCTAAGTATTGGGATTAAAGGGATGCAAGGCCACCACACCTGGAAGATGTTCATTTATTGTGTTTTGTTTTATGTTACTTACTGTGTGATTATGGTCACCTGTATGCCATAGCACACACATGAAAGTTAGAGGACAACTTGTGGGAGTTGGTTCTTTCCTTCAATTATATGTGCCCAGAGGAACAAAAACAGGTTGTCAGTGCCTTTACATGCTGAACTATCTCAGCACCTCAAGCTAGAGGTCCTTAATGTTAGTGGACTCCATACTACCACTGAGCATTGTGATAGCTCAGAGATAACAGGTACGGCAACATAGGTCCCTATGGATGTGTCACCTTGGGTATAATAGTCTGCAAACATCCATTCTGGTTTGCTGATAAACTCCCTTTGAGAAACAAACCTTCTCCTTTATTATCATGCTGTCAAAAGCTTAACCATAACCTTACATCAAGGGTGATAATGGTTCTATACATATGTCAATAGCCATAATTCATGTATGGTGTCACATGGGTTGGGCCAAACCAAGTCAGTCAAATCTGAATGAGGTGGGAGCCTCTTGCTTTAGTCACTGGACTCTTGTCTCTCTAGACTTACAGTTTGTAGAATGGAGACGCAGAATGAATTCATATACGATGAGGAGAGGCTGACTGAGAATAAAGCTAAAAGAAAGAACAGAGACCAAGACCAGATGACATCTTTTGATCAGCTGGATCCAGCATGGATTTCCCACGAATGTTTACCTGTGTGAGTTAATAAATTCTCTAGCCTACTTACTAAGCTCATTTAGATTGGTTTTCCTACTCATAAGTGAAAAGGTCACCATTTCAGTGTACAAATTAGATATTAGCCAGCTTGTTATGAAAGAAGAAATGTGGGAGTTAAATCTGATCAACCTTCCTATTCTTTTTTGTTTGTTTTTGGAGACAGGATTGCTCTGTGTAACAGCCTTGGCTGTCCTGGAACTCACTTTGTAAACGAGGCTGGCCTCAAACTCAGAGATGTGCCTGCTCTGCCTCTGGAGTGATGGGATTAAAGGCATGCATCACCCGGCTCAAAGGTTCAAAATTCCTATTTGTGTTCTAATGCAATATGATCAACACTGGTCAAGATTTTATCTTTTCAACTTTAGTTTTATTATAAAAAAAGGAATAATAACCTTTAGTGGGAAAGTCCATGAGTAAAGAATCTATGGTTCTATGCAGTATGTTTCAAAATAATTCCCAATTTGTAATTTAAATGTTTTGAAGATCTTTAAAAGAAGAAATAGCGGCTAGAGAAAGGGTTCGGCGGTTAAGAGCACTGACCTCTCTTCCAGAGGACCCAGGTTCAATCCCCAGTACACACACACACACACACAGTCTCTAACAACCATCTGTAAACTCTAGTTCCAGGAAATTCAACACCCCCTTCTGGAATCCATGAGTACTGCATGTATGTGGCACACAGACATACATGCAGGCAAGACACTGATACACATAAAATAAATCTCAAACAAATTATTTTAAATGAGAATATATACAACAGTGCCTTCTTAGTATCCATGACTCCTAAATTCAATTCCTAGAACACCTCCCTCCCCAAAACTTATTTACTTACTTATTTTAGGGTTGAAATATTATTTCTTCCTGGATATAAGTCCCTCATAAACAGACTTCTGTCTGTGTGACTCAATTATTAAATATTGTCACTTACTATTTCTTGTCTCCCCAGAAACTTACCTTCAAAGTATATACTCCCATTCTACCTGGGACTTTATAGAAGATGCCCTCTTCACCTCGGGAGTTTGTGTGCAGCATGGCATTTAAGCATGCAAGAGGGGAAGTCCCGCTACAAAGCAAAGAAGGTGAAGAGCATAGTGATTAGATTATCTCTGAATATTCTTTGTAATTCTGGCTTAAAATTTTAATTAATATCCCTTTCTTTAAATAATTTTTTACTAACTATACACACACACACACACACACACACACACACACACACACACACACAAAAACCAGTATAGAAAGAGATTGCCATGGAGAGAAAATGGAAAATTCATCCTTGAGTATCTAAAGGGGAGAAATATCCTTCATCTAATACTTAAGCAAAACAAAAAAGCCACATAGAGCAATATCAAATTTATTTTGCAAATCTACTTTATTTACAAGGATATATGAAAGTGGAAAGCATGCACACATGCATTCATACGTGCTCACACTTATGCACAAACAAACACACATACACACAGGTTCAAATAAATATTTATCCTCTTGTATGCTGTTGTACTAAACTAAATCTGATTTGTAAAACAAGTTGCCATGGTTTCTTGTACTTAAACTTCGCAGGCGAGCACTTTAAAAGGTATTTAACAGACTTCTGATTTTGCATGGATTAGCTTTCTTTCCCATTTTCTGAAATTTTAAGTACATAATAATTTATTATGTAGATGCAAAAAATCTTTTTCTGGATGGACATGATGGCACCCCACTATAACCCCAAAATTTAGGAGACTGAGGCAAACAAGTTCAATGCCACTCTCTACTATATAAGGCAGGCTCCTGGTGTGTGTGGGGTGTATTTAACTCCTTTCCAAGTGTCATCAGACCTTATTGGTACTCTTGGGGGGTGGCAATAAAATTCACAGAGTCCTTACATTGGTTTGTCACTGCATTAAGGAAATGGGACTAGGACTGGAAAGATGGCTCAGCAGATCAGAGCACCGGCTGCTGCTCTTCCAGAGAACCCAGGTTCAATTTCCAGCACCCAGTTCCAAGGCATCCAACACACACAGAAACACATGCAGGCAAAACGCAATGCACATAAAATAAAAAGTAAATGATTTTTAAAAAGAAAAAGAAAAGATTATGGAGCTAATGTTAAGTACTTGTACATTAAGAAACAGGAAGGCCAGGCATAGTGACTTCACGCCTTTAATCCCATATTTTGGCAGACAGAAGCAGGCGATCTCTGAGTTCAAGGCCAGCCTGCTCTATAAGAGTAAGTTCTAGGACAGCCAGGACTACACAGAGAAATCCTGTTTTGAAAAACAAACAAAAACTTCAAATTAAGGACAGTAATAAAATATAGAAAATAAAATATAACAGAACATATTCCTAAAAATCAAGTGTTAGTCTAAGGTCAAGGGCTATAGTATTAACAAAAGTAGATATTTTTTGTATGATTTGTAGGATTTCTTTTGTTTTTGTTTTGGGATAGAATCCTTACTCTGTAGCTCAAGTCTGAAGTGGCATGGAACTCTCAATGTGGTCCAGCCTGCATCAAACTCAAGGCAATCTACCTAGTTCCATCACTTAAGCATTGGAATTACAAGTATAGGACACTATGCCTGGCATTTGGTGCTGCAACATGTAAAGCAATATGCCCATGCATCTTAGAAAACAGAAAAGTAACAAGAAATCATGTTGACAGTTCATACAGAAGTATATATACAGAGTCAGGGAATGGTCTGGAGTCTGATTAAAGCCTCAAGTAGTTTTTTGTTTGCTTGTTTCTCACAGTTACTGAGGGGCAAAACAACTTAACTGTCTATGAGACAAAGATATCTAAGAGTTTATATAAACATAACACACATGAAATACCTAACTCCCATCTTAGCCATGGTCATTTTAAATATTGATTCATTATAATACCTAACATTTTAATTTTATGATAATAGGTCATAAAATTTAAAAGTAGGTTTGAAAGAAGCAGAATGTTTCTTCATTCCTATAAGGGTATTGTGACCTATCTATCTTACTACAGATGATTAGGATGCCTAAAGTTTTCTTTATTTTCTTTTCCTGGAGACAAGATTTCTCTATGTAGCCCTGGCTCTCCTGGAACTCACAGATCCGCCTGTCTCTGCCTTCCAAATGCTGGCACTAAAGGTGTGCACCACTATGGCCCAGCTGAGATGCTTAAAGTTCTTAACAAATCCCAGTGTTAATCTCCAAAGTAAATATGAAACTAAGTATAAAACTTAATGGTTCCAGGAAAAAGAGCTACCAATGTGAACACAGAAATTGAAGCCCAGAACCTTTGTGAAGAAAATAAATTATGAGTATAACTATACAAGAACTGAACTGGAGACATTAAAATGTTATATCACTGTCCTTATTGGATAGTTATGACTTATTTGGCAAAGTAATTTTGTATAACAAATTACTTTCTGTTTCTTTAAAAAGCTACTTTTTAGAAACAGAACTGGGTCCTCTGAATGAATAGCAAGTGCTCTGGCCTGGTGACCATAGACTGGTTTTGCTTTCCACCTCTGCGACAGAGCTATCATGCCACACATGGATACGGATGTTGAAACTCTTGAGTTTTTTAAGTAGCTATTATGACTCAACCACTTAACCAATTCCTAATATTTTTTCTATCAGAAATACTTTCAGAGACATAACTTAGAGTTATGGTAAATCTTAGGTTATATTAAATGGCTTTTACTGCAAGCCTCAAAAACAAATACTAAAATAGGAATGGGTTATTAGGTGGTACCATGCACACGGATAAGACCATAGAAAGTTGGGCATGGAGGCACACATCTCTAAGCCCAGCATTTCGGAGACAGAGACCTGCTCAAAACAAAACAATCAAAAACAGACCAGAAGACAAGAAACAGCCCAGCCTGTCATTATGACCTCAAAGATAAGATCGCCACTACTACCTGCACAGTGTCCAACAGACCAAAATCAAAGATCCTGCCACAAGAGCACTGTGATACACATGTAACTACATTCACACATCATACACACATATAACTTAAAATTTTAAACCTTAATTAAGCTTCATTCATAACAATATGGGTATGTTACTATAAATGAACTTAACAGAGTACTAATTAATGTTAAGAGAGATTAATCTCAAGCTATAAGCAAACATGGCATATCTATGACATGAAAATAGATATGGTTCCCTGGTTCTCAAGCCTCACATGAAAGTCACATGACTGAAATTTAAAAAAAAAAAAAAATACTATAAAAAAAGGGAATTGCTATTACCAAAGGTTAAAGTGACAAGCAAACACAGACAAAAGGTCAATTCAATAAAGGACTTAGACTATGAATTTTTATCTGTTCTGGCTAGTTTAAACTAAGCATTTACCAGTATTTTCTCTGTATCAATCAAGCAAATATATTTTCAATCTTATAAGCAATAGGCAACACACATAGGTGTATAAGTATTTTCATTAACATGCTGAATAGTACTTCAGTGTTATAAGACAAATGACAATTTTGATAAATCTTAATGTCAACAATTTCTAAAATTATGGCCATGTAATGGTTACAAATTGTAAAAATTAACAAACAATCTCATTTATAACTAACATTTATATACTATTACAAGTAAAAATCATGCACACAAAGGTACATTCAACAAAACTTGTAAAAGATTGCATTATAATTGTTTTATACTCCTTTAGAATAAAGTAATACTTCTTACCTTCTGGAGTTGGAATGTACCCCAAGAAAACAAGAGGAGGGAAAAAAAAAAAGATTTTAATTTTTCTTTACAAGCTTCATCTTCTAACAATACTAACAATCCCCATATTGTTACATAAAACATTAAAAATTTTTAAATGTACAAATGAGTCCACAACATCACTGTTTAAATTGCACTTATATTCAGCTATATAGTCTAAATAAATTACTTTAGAAAAACAAGTGAAATACTTGAATTCTATGAAAAAGTGTAATTATCAGAGCAGCTCACAGTTAAGTGTGAATTCTGTAATAGTACTTTGTTCCCCCATGCATTTTGATTGCAAGGAGTCATCATAAAGCCATCAACTATGGGCTCTGGGGGGTTATTTTCTTCTCTTTGATCTGTAATAGAAGTTGATGAGAATCTGAACAACAGATGCTGCTGTTGGGGGAGGAACATGCTTCTACTCTCAGGAGATCTAAGAGTTCTAGACCAACATAGGTTACTAAGTAAATCCTGGCTCAAGAAAAAAAACAACACAACAGGAAGCTGGAAAAGGTGATATACACCTGTGATCTCATCACTTACAAGTTTCAAAAGTTCCAGACCAGCCTGGGTATTCTGAGATCCTACCTTCCTCCCACCCCACCAAAAAAGAAGAGGGAATAATAATAAACAACAAAAAGTTTTTTCTATGAATATCTATTGGTTTTGTTTCTATTTATAAAATATTTTCCTTTTTGACAATCCTACCAAGTTTGCAGGCTTGACAGACTACAACCAGTAGATAAGAGAAAGGCTTAACCACAAAGGCATAAGATAATCTTAGAAAAACATGTAACTTAAAAATTAAAAAAAAAAATGCCTGAAGCCGGGCAGTGGTGGCGCACACCTTTTGTCCCAGCACTAGGGAGGCAGAGGCAGGCAGATCTCTGTGAGTTCAAGACCAGCCTTGTCTACAAGAGCTAGTATCAGGACAGGCTCCAAAACCACAGAGAAACCCTGTCTTGAAAAACAAAAAAGAAAAAAAAAAAAAAGAAAACTGCCTGTGTGCTTTTGGTGGGTTCTCCCCCTTCCACTCCTACCATGGGATCCAGACTGTGGTGTGTACAGCAAATGCTTTTTACCTTTGAGTAATCTTACAGGCGAAGAAAAAGAACTTCATTCTTTTTTCAATTTTTTGTTGTTTTTTATTTGTCACGTGCATTGGTGTTTCGCCATGGTGTCAGGTTCCCTGAAACTAATTACAGTTGTGAGCTACCACACAGTTGTTGGGAACTGAACCTGGGTCCTATGGAAGAGCAGTCTACTGAGCCATCTCTCCAGCTGGGATCCTTCCTTTCTTTTTTTTTTTTTTTTTTTTTTTTTTTGGTTTTTCAAGACCCTAGCTGTACTGTCACTTTGTAGACCAGGCTGGCCTCAAA